AGTTTGTTCTACCACATGCTAAGCCCTGCTTCACTAATGTCATTTTTCCTTTTTTAAATATATGTCCTGTCTGGCAGTTTTTGCAATCAGAACTCTGATCTGAATGCTTCGGTGCCAAACACATTTTACTTTTTGAAGATCAGCTCTATACATTCTCTATAGGCTCCACTTGTGTTTCATTTATCTGTTTATTTATTCATTTGTATTTGTTGTTTCCATTATAAAATTTTATATGGTATGGTATTATAATATCTAATCAGGGACAGGAAGAAAAAAATATCTAGGCCATCCACAGCCCCCAAAACTACTGAAAACCTGAGACCACACATTTCTTCGACATCCTGCGAAGAAGGAGGGAGGCACCAGATGGGGCAGCCATCCAAGAGGACCAGAGGCAAGGGAGGGCTGTTGGAGGGGTGCTATTAGTATCATTATTATGGAGCCATTCATCCTGTTTTGTTTGTTCCATTATGTAACCTTTAGATCACAGCTTCCAGACTGTCAAACAGACTGTACTACGATGCAAAGTGTAGTGCTATGCTAACATTTGTATTTTTGCCTAGAACAGGCAGATTAGCAACTTTTATAAAATGTAAATACCGTTATTAAACGGTACTGGTATGTAAAGAGTGGGAAGCCTTTTTCTCTTTAATTTAACAAGCTAAGTGGCCTATTTCTTTGCTTCTTCATTTTTGTGTCTCATGACCCCAACGTTAACTCAAAATTCTGTTTTGGACTCTAGGTTTGGCTGTAACATTCATCCTTTTAGGAAGTTGGAAATAGCTGAGTCATATTTGTATTATTCTTGTCTTTCCTCAGGCCAGGAGGTAACGTCCTTCAATAGTATTACAGCATGATATAATAACTATAACTCTTTATTTTAGAAAATGTATACCCATTTAGGTAATCAGTTGTATAACCTGCTTTTTCCTCCCACTGTCGCAAACTGTTGCTTAAAGCAAAGAGGAGCAACGAGGTGCCCTTTGCCAACCTGCCTAAGGACAACGTCTCCACAAATATTGACATTCACTGGTCAGTTTATTAGTATTTGTGTAGTGACAGTGTCTGCTGATCCATATGAAAGAATGCAGCAACATTAACAGAATATTTACCCACCAAATTGCAGCACATTTTTTCAAAAGAAATCTTAGCAGCTTTAAAAATTTGGTTTGGAAACAGAGATTAATTCGTAGAAAACTGTTATTAGAGCAGGGCGTGGGTCAGTAAGGGAAAACTAGGAATTCACAGGTGCAACTGGAACAAAGCTAGAAAGGTGGCGAGGTGAAGGACACTGGGGGAAAACCAACAGATATCAGGTTCCTGATGGAATTTTCCAGTCATACCTTTGGATCATGACACTTGGTCTGTGTTACAAAAAAAAAAAAAACTCATCTTCCAGTTCCAGCTGCTGATACACATAGTGGTAATAGTATCATGCAGTAGGGCATGACACCACTACCACTATGCTTCACTGTGATGGTGGTAGCCAGCTCCACAGTCCTTTTATCCTCTAGATATATTGACCAGAAAATTTTGTTTGTCATGGTCTGGTCATGGTTTCTCTAACCCTAAAATATGTATGAAAA